CCTTTCTCCTACTGCTACTCTTCCTCTTCCCCTTCCTACCCTCTCTCCTTCTCTTCCTCTCCATTCCATCCTCCTCTCCTCTTTCTTCTTTCCCCCATCTTCCTTTCATTCTCCCTTCCTCTCTCCTTTTCTTCCTTCTTCCTGTCCTTCCTCTTCCTTCTTCCCTTCCCTTTCTCCTACTGCTACTCTTCCTCTTCCCCTTCCTACCCTCTCTCCTTCTCTTCCTCTCCATTCCATCCTCCTCTCCTCTTTCTTCTTTCCCCCATCTTCCTTTCATTCTCCCTTCCTCTCTCCTTTTCTTCCTTCTTCCTGTCCTTCCTCTTCCTTCTTCCCTTCCCTTTCTCCTACTGCTACTCTTCCTCTTCCCCTTCCTACCCTCTCTCCTTCTCTTCCTCTCCATTCCATCCTCCTCTCCTCTTTCTTCTTTCCCCCATCTTCCTTTCATTCTCCCTTCCTCTCTCCTTTTCTTTTCTATTCTTGTAGGTCAGATCTCAGTTTATGTTTTCTTGGGATGGTTTTTTTGCAAACCCAAATATAATTTCATATCATTTCTTATTTCCTTACCTTCGCTAATCTATCCTAGCTATATTTCCTCCCCCTCTATGCCTCGCTCTTGGATATATACTTATATATTTAATATTTTCTTTTCTGTTTTCCCCTTCTTCCCCACCTTTTCCATTTAACAGTGCATCATCTGGGTTCTATATCTTCTCCTTACTGTCTTTTCTAGTTTCCTTTCTCTAGCCAATCATAGAATCTTCCCCATGTCTTGAAGTACTCAGATTCCTCTTTATCCTTTATTTTCATTGTCAACCTATTCATCTTGGCACAATCTAACATCTTTTTTATTATCTCTTCATCTGTTGGAAGCTTATTTAATTTCCAATTTTGGGCAAATACAATTCTTGCTGCTATAGTTACATGTATAATCAAATAAGTATCCCCTTCCTCGAATTTCTCTAGGATAATACCTAGTAAAATATCTCTATTATTAAATGTCTCTGTCTAGCTCTACATTAATGTATCCAAAGGACGTATCTACCTGTCTTGTGCTTCTCCTGTCAAGCAATTTTTCTGGATGATAAATTGTGGAATGATATTAAGGCTGTTACCCTTAATTGATTAGTTATTTCTATCATACTATGTGCAAATATGGTAATTGGAGTGTTTATAAATTCGTTCGAAATTCACATGCCGTACTCAGGCATGAAATCCGCTTACTTCCCTATCGGTTCAGAACTGGGAGCTCGCACGCAGCACTTCTGCGCATGTGTAGAGCGTCCGTGATTGCATCTGGGCAGGTGGGCAGAGCCTCACGCCGCCGCCACTACCGTAGCAAACTTCTGGCTGTACTGCTCTGGTCTTCCTAAGGAATGAGATCAATTATTGACAGTCTTTCTTGCCTTTGAAGCTGGGTATTTCATGGGTCTATTTCAATGCGATCACCAAATGATTGGTTTTGAACAAAAAGCCATGAAAGGATAACAGAAATATGGAACTGAATCCTGACAGAACCTGTTCATCTGGTTGAGCAACAGAAAATTGAGCAATAATTAATACTGACTATCTATGGGGGGAAAAAATTCAGCCAATTTCCCTTGGTTAAGAAATTCATTAGTCACTCTGAGCCAGCTCTTCCAGAATGTCTAATGAAGGGGGGAAAATGTTGTTAGATAATGATAGCAAAATAAAAAAAGTTTACCTTTGGCGAACAGTTGAAATGCATGCCAGGTACTGGGAGTGTCGTTACATACATTGTAATACACCGATATAAGTACAATGTGCCAACTATACAAAGAAATCTTCTGCCAATAATAGACCTGAAAGGAGAAAGAAAAGGTAGAGAAAATTGTATATCATGTGAAGTGCTTCAGAATACTGCAAAAAGAGTGCTCTCCATAAGGCACCAGGCTGAAAACTACGAAAAACAAATATATTCCAACTTCACAGAACTAGAATAGATCCAAGAAGACTGTAGTGTAGGCAAAAGCATAAGAAGATTCTTCAAACTGTTTCTACGTTAAATCTGGTTCTTAGCTTTCTTTTCCACATGACCAAAAAAACAGAATTATTGGATGTTTTCCCAAAGAGCTGCCAAAAACTGCTGAATGCAGTGTGGGATGTAATCTGGAATAATATGGCGTAGAGCAGAGATGTCAATCTCACATCGCGGTAGCGGTGTCACGTGACGTATCACTTTTCTTCTCCTTTGCTAAACTGGGCATGGGTGTGGCCAGCGCATGACGCATACGGCCCACAGGTCGGAAGTTTGACACCCCTGGTGTAGAGGGGCTGTAGGCATATTCATCATCTTCTCCAATCAAATAAATGTATTTATCCCCCATTCATGGGTTTTTAACGTTTTATGGGCTTTTAAGTTCACTGCAGATTTGCTCCTTTTTTCCATGCAAGTTAATGGTGATGCGTTTATTTTTAGGATAGCAAGGGGCTGCAAAAAACTAAAAAAAACAAATTATACTAAGAAAAAAAGGAGGTTTTTCTTCCTAACTGTTGTTAGTTATTCTCTCTTTAGTCCCCATTTAGAGACCTTTTGCCATTTTTAACAAAATCGACATCAAAAATGATTTTCTTAAAATCGTTTAGTTCTTTTGGTTCTTAAAACTAAATATGTTCATGCTCAAACTCTCTATTGCTTTTATCAATGTAAATACTTAGTTGTAAGGCCTCCTTCTAGTTCCCCTGGACTACTTAAAAGTCCAGACATTCTTAACTATTACAAGACATAGAAGACATTTCCTCAGATTCTTTGATTTAAGACAGCGTTTCTCAACCGTGTCAACTTGAAGATGTCTGGACTTCAACTGCCAGAATTCCCCAGCCAGCGAATGCGAATGCTGGGGAATTCTGGGAGTTGAAGTCCAGACATCTTCAAGTTGACAAGGTTGAGAAACACTGATTTAAGATCAGTAACTAATTCATGTAAGATATTCTAAATTTTTATTAACAGCCTTAGAAGACAACATTGCGGTTTAAGAAAAAAAGTATGGGGAACAAGTCCAACTAGAAGCAGTAGCTAACTGATCTGAAGCAGCCCAGTTAGACTTAAAACATGCCTAGAGCTTGGATGGATGCAGAGGTGGGTTCCTACCAGTTCGCACCTATTCGGTAGAACCGGTTCATCAAATCTACCGAACCGGTTAGAAGAGGTTCCACCAGTGGAC